CTTTGAAAAGAAATCTAAGATACAAAGATGGTAGGAACATAAAAAAAGATGATTTGAGAAAAGTGGTATGGCCAAGTGATGAATATGAAGATGAATTGATCAACATAGCCTATCAATGATGATCAAATAATGAACATAGTGTGGATCAGAGGATAAAGTTTATTCTAAGATGGCTAGTGCTGAGAAGCCTATGAATAGTGGTGACAATAGTGTGGGTCAATGGATGAAATTTATGCTAAAATTACCAATACTAAGAAGCCTGTAAGTGGTGATTAAACGATATGAGGCAATGGATGAAACTTATATTGGAATTGTTAGTACTAAAAAGCCTATGAATGGTGATCAAGTGATGAAAATAATGATGATCAGTTGATGAAACTTGTTCTAAAGTGTTAAGAAGCTAAACAAGGAGAAAATGTGAGATGATGGAGTTTTGAGAACCATATTACCATATTTTGATTAGAATTTCATGACTTTGAAACCCACATTACATGTATTACATTAGCATTATTTTTTTAAAAAAATGTTTAAAACTTTGGTTTGGATATGCATTTGCATCATGGCATGGTGAGAATCTAGATTGTAGCATTTGCATTATTGAGAAAACATTTACATATTTGATCATGACATTCATTGTATGCATAATTTTAAGTCACTTGAAAAAGAACTTATGAATCTTTTGATAAGGAATCCTCGAACTCAAATAAGGATTTTTTAGTTTCAAATGAGAATCTTTGAGTATGAAACCCAAAATTTATCGAATGTTAATCTTCAAATTCAAATGAGAATTTTTTAATTTCAAATAAGAATATTTGAGATGTGAAACCCAAAATTTGTCAAATGTGAATCTTCAAATTCAAATGAAAATTTTTGAATTTCAAATGAGAATCTTTGATATGTAAAACCCTAAAGATTTCTTGGATGTGAATCTCCAAAATTCTAATGAAAAGCTTTAAACTTTTTTTGGATGTGAATCCCAAATTTTGGTGAACTTTTGAATTTGAATGAGAAGCTTCGAATGAGAATCTCTGAAATTTGAATGAAAATCTTTAAATATTAGATATGAGTCTTGCAATTTGCAAATACGAATCTTGCAAATTTAAATTTTTGTATGTCTGAAATCTTATGAATTAAATTCTTATTAAACTAAAATTTTGAGAATCAAATTTTAGTGAATTCTTGAGAAGCTGAAAGGTTCTTACGAATCTGAACATTTGATTTTCAAACTCAAATTATGAATTGTTGAGTTTCCATTACAAATTTTATTTGATTTGATCTATAACTTCTTTGGACATGATTGTCAATGAGCATTTTACTTTCAAAGTTGTAGAACCTCTGTTTAAAAGAGCCTTATTTATTTTTTTTTTCAAAAGTCATTGAGCCTCTGTTTAGAGGAGCCTTGTTTATTTTTTCACAAGTTGTTGAACCTCTGTTTAGAAGAGCTTTGTTTATTTTTTTCAAAGTCATTGAGCCTCTATTTAGAGGAGTTTTGTTTAAAAAAAATAAAAATAAAAACAAGAGAAGTGTCGAGTTGAGTCTTAATTTGGTGTCTATGTCTTTGCATAATTTATGTTTCACAAAAAATGTGCAAAAAGGGGTAATGTAAACACTCTAATTGGTCTGGACCCAAGCCTATTGGGCTTGGCTCAATAAAGCCCAGGGTATTAAGCTCAATTGGCCATTTTTTTCTTTCATTTTCATTTTTATTTTATTTTATTTTTTTGTTTCTTATTTATCTTTATTTTTTGGTTGATTTATCAGATTATTTATTGAATTTATTAGTAGTTTTTTTAGGAGATAATAAGTTTGGCCATGGTTGGAGTGGTAGAATGGTGGAAAGACTCAATCAACATGGGATAATTAGAAATTCCCATCGTGACTCCAATCTCTAGCAAGAAGGAATATGTCACGGATAAAGTGGAATTCTTCGATTTTCATAATAAATATAGGATCAGAAGCACACATGAGGGATCAAGGAAGATCAGATAGGCAGTAACATAGTGGGAGACAAAATACCACCATTAACATATACATTGCCAAAACCATAAAGCTTATAATCGTCCCTCTTCCCAGCCTAGTTTCTGCCTCAAAATTCGTCAGCCAAACTTACCAGAACCAAAGTCACTCACATTCCCACCTGCACTAAAACCATATTAAAAAACCCCACAATCGATCTTGATCGAAACCTACAGCACCCAACTACCAGCAATCAGACCCAAGCCATATATAGAAAATAATTCCCCATCCACTGTTTAACCACCTTTAATTTCCCTAACCAACATCCAGCAACAGAGTCCCAAATAAATCATTTCCAGAAAAGCGAAACATAATGTCCCAGCAAGCCTCCATTATCACAACCAAACCCACACAAGACATTTTACAATTTCCACAAAAACGATCCACAACCCAAATCCATTCAGTCGCACCCAACACTGTCAATGCTAATTCAAAGAAAAAAATGAAGCAAAGTTAAAAAACTAAAGTAAAAAAAAGAAGAGAAAATACGAGAAAAAAAAGAAACCAAAACCTTCATGGTGGTGGCAATGACAGGCGATGGTCGATGTGATCTCTAAAAGATCTGAATGGTGAAGACGTAGAGCTTGACGAAAGAAATCACATACTGAAAGTTGGTGAAGATCCGACGGTGAGAGAGGCTGAAACAGAAGAAAGAAAAAATCGTAACTTAAACGTCAAATCTACGCCTTTAGGGAGTGATTTATGGAAAAACAAGCCTATATTTGTGACATGGAAAGTAAAAAGCAGCGATGGAGAGAATTTTGGCTTGATCGGTGGTCGGACAATGGTAGAGTATGGTGGTGCCGGTGACGGATCACAGCGGCGTCGGTGGCGAAACCTGAAAACCTTTGAAGTCTTTGACTTGGGTTTTTTTGTCCTTAAAGATAGAGGGAGAGAAAGCTAAGTGTAGAGAGAGAGGAAGAAACGGTAAAATGAAGAAAAAAGCTTAAGAGTAGGCTTTTATAGAATCAATAAAATGGTGTCGTTTTGGCCAAGGAAACCAGGTTCATTTTGACCTGTTTCAAGGATCCACACATCATACATTGGGTGATTCGACCCAATCGCTCAGCCTGATCTTTTGTTCCAGTCTAGCTTCGCACCATTTGAACTCCAAGCCGAGTCGTTTGCTTGTGTAAAGCCGAGCCTGGTGATTTTCTAGAGCTAAGCTGCGAATTATTTTGGGTAATCTTTGTCCATTTTTGTCATTTTGCCCATTATTTGTCAATTTTTTTTGAATGAGTAAAAAAGGATAAATGAATAAAGAAAAACATTTTAAAAAAATATTTTTAAAAAAAAGTTGAAAAAATCAATTTTTTTTAAAAATAAAATTTAAAAAAAAAAAGCATTTCTTGAGGAAAAGTTGGAAGTATCAATTTTTTTAAAAAATAAAACTTAAAGAAACGTATTTTTAAAGGAAAAGTTGAAAGTATCAATTTTTCTTAAAAATATCAATTTTTCTTAAAAATAAAATTTCTAAAATAAAAATTTTCAAAAGTATTTTGAGAAAAAATTGAAAATATCAATTTTTCTTGAAATTAAAATTTCAAAAAAATATATTTTTAAGGAAAAGTTGAAAGTATCAATTTTTCTTAAAACAAAAAACCTCCAAATATTTTAAAGAAAAGTTGAAAATATCAATTTCCTTTGTATAAAAGCATGAGTTTTTTTTGTTTTTTAAAAATCTATATTAATCATTATGCTTTACTTTTTTTAAAATAATGTTAAATAATCCGACGATGGAGTCTCTATAAGTGAAACAGTAGTTTTCTTGCATATTCTTGAGGTGAAAGAATTTTCTTAATTTTCTTCCAAAAGTATTGGAATTAATTAAGAATAATTTGTAATAATTAATTACTTGATAAAATTTTTAAGGCTTATTGGATAACATGAAATTAAGCTGATACCATCTTTCGATGGGCATTGTGAGGGTGCTATAACCTTATGTAACCATACTCCTGAACCCTGTTCTGGTCAATAGACTCGAACCTATTCTTTTAGGAAATTTTAAACTTAGGTGTTTCTTAAAATAATAGATTATTTATATAGTCAATGATACCTAAATAAAAAAGATTGGTGACGATTTCTTAAATTAATGTCTAACGATAGATCTACGGATCTAAACGTTATGATAACATTTTTCATGCATTTTCTTTGCACACTTGGATAAAGAGATAAAGACTTTATTTCTAGTCAATGTGGCTTAAAACAATGATCGATTGCATCGTAAAATTTGATCCAATAGTGGTGCAACTAACTTTTAATCATAAACAGAGAATTAGGACTATATTTAACATAAAATTATAATTTCAGGATAGCGATACTATAACTAATTTAAAGAACAATTCTCCCACCAATTGATTATTTCAATACGTTTATCACCTAAATATTTACATTTTTGAGAGCAATATTACTCTAATTTCAAAAAGGCTAGACCATTTCTGAGTCAATATGATGCAATTATTGCTTATTGTATATTTTTCTCAGTCTGTACTTTTTTTTCTTGACTTTTATGGTCATTGCAACATTATATAGAGATGGAAAGTTGGTTTGAATTTTCAACATGGAACAACACGGAAGCTATGAAAGACGACGTTGACCTTAGGTCAATTTTTAAGAAACAAATTGTTATAAAGAACTTCTAAACCATATTTATATATTCAGATGATAGTAGTGATAAGAAAGAAATAGCCCAAAACCAAAATTTGGATTGCATATATCGATCTTTGAAAAGATAAGAGAGATGTTTCTGATTTGCGTACCCAAACTGTATATCAACTGCATCATATCCCCCAAGAAAAAAGAGGAAAAAGAGAAAGCCATGGAATTAGAGAGAAGGAAAAGGGAAGAGAGAGAGAGAAAGGAGAAGAAGAAGAAGAAGAAACAATTAGCAATGGAATTAGAGAGAAGGAAAAGGGAAGAGAGAGAGAGGAAGAAGAAGAAACAATTAGCAATGGAATTAGAGAGAAGGAAAAGGGAAGAGAGAGAGAGGAAGAAGAAGAAACAATTAGCAATGGAAGAGCAGCAGAAGAAGAAGAAACAATTAGAGCAGAAGAAGAAGAAATGATCAAGAAAATATTAAAAAGAAGTTTCGAGTGCTGTTACCATATATATCTGCTTTTGTCATGTTCTTCTCACTCTTTTCAGTTTTCAATTTTATAAAAATAAAATCATTTAGAATTTTCAATATGCCCCCCTGCCGCCTGGCGGCTCCATATTTCTGTACTTGCATATATATATTGATTTAGTTTAAATACTTATAAAATAGCTTTTGCTTGTATAAAAATTAAGCGTCGGAGTGTTTCATTTGCTTTAACCAATTAATGAAAAAAAAAAAAGAAATAAACCTTTTGAACAAATCTTTAGGTAAATGGGGGAGAAATTAATGGCTTATAGTTGGATATATTGTTGGTATCTAACTTGAGATGTAAGACACCACAAATCCAAAACTTACTAAGATGAATAATTTCTTCATTTACAAATACAATGATTCTGAAACTTATAAACTCAATTTACCAACCTAGCTTAAGTTGAAACTGCCAGTACTTTGCCTACCAAGATGTTTTTCAGCATCAAAAGAGGATTAATGAAGGAAATATTGAAAGAGAAATAACTGAGTAGAGCCAGCCTAAAAGAAAAGGAGATGAAGGCCAAAGAAAAGACAAGAACCCAAGAGATAGCTAAAGAATTTATGAAGTCTGCCTTAGGTTGAGTTTCTGATTTGCATTGAATCTGTAAGAACAACAAAATAGTTAAAATGTGTTAAACATGCCACCTTAAACAAAAATAGCAATGTATTATATTTCAACTGGTCAAGGATGAATGTGGCATAGATAACAATAGGAACATTTACTTGCCAAACATATTGTCTATGATACAGAATGTCGCAGCCAAATCAGCAATGAGGTAAAACAACCATCGCCACAATACCCTCAGAAGCCTAATGAATTTGCATTCACAAATAGACTTCGCTAGACATTATTACAAGAATTAATAATATGAGCAAAGTTTCATGAGATCGTTAGCAAACCCATCAAACTGGGACTGCCAATGCCCAATGATTTACTAGAGACACTAAAAATTTAATAGTCTATCAACTTGGACCAGCTAAATTTACACCTGTGAAAACTACAGACTAGGCCAAGTCTGCCACCACCTCCACTTTTCAAGAAGCTTCATGTAGCCAACAGAATCACCACTGTAAATAGTAGGTGAATTGTTGCAGAAGATCCACGCCAGGCATGGTATCAAGTTTCCAAAATTTTAATGCAAGTAGCACAAGAATGAGAAAATTGCAGGACCTTAATCGCATGAATTACCAACTTCTTAATCAACCAAGCACCTTACGAAGTTCATCAACTATTTGTTTTCTGCTTGATGGCTCCATCTGCATTGGATTAAAACAATCATCCTTAGGTTCCAAGAGATATAGACAAGAATGCTGTAAAAGCAAGAAAGGATAGTTGGATGGTTTACCTTGTTTAGAAGGGCAGCAAGACCTTGAGGTAGAGCTTGCATATCTGAAGCTGAATGGCCAATATTTGTAAGCTGAAGCAATACCTTTTGGACCCGCAGCTCTTGTAGCTTCTCACTATAATTTCTCAGATCATCCTTCCATGAAAAGAAAGCTTCATCATTAACCCAAGCATCCTCTCTTCCCTTTGCAACATTGGAATCCAAAAACCATTTCTTGATCAAGTCCATTGCAGATTTATCTGACAGTTGGTCACCAGCAGCATCTTTTACAATTTTGACCATAGAACTCTCAGCAATTCTCCGGTGCAATCTTCTATAGAAGAAAGAGCGTGAACGATCCCAGTCAACAACTTCTTTTATCACCCCTTTTGCTGCCATCCTCAGAGAAGTATCATGAAGTTCTGCAAATTTAGTGGCTATCTGGGTGTATACTGGCAAAAGCTGCTTCTCACGTGATCTTATCTGCTGCTGCAGAGAATCCACCAGTGCATGGGCTCCATTGCTCTTCGCTTCCTGAAGTTTTGCCTTCAAACTTATAAGTTGTTGGTCGAGCCTGCCCATGCACTCCAGTAGCTCCTTTGTCCTAAACTTGATTTCAATCATTCCTTCCGGCTCAAGTACATTACCCTTAGCAGTGCGCTCAGCATACATTTCAATATGGTCTGAATTTATCCGGCTGTCCACAACAACCCATGCCCCACCACGAAGCTCACCCATCATGGGAATGTACACAAAAACAGGTTGTTTGTACATTCTAAGATTCTCAACGATGGTTGATCCAGCCTGAAGGATACCCTCAAAAAGATCCCTTTGCCCACCAGAGAAGCCTCTCCAATTGGCAAGAATGAAAAGTGGAAGCTCTTCCCTATTGAAATCCATTATTGCCTGAGCCGTCTTTGTAGCAGAATCTGGAAACCATACCTGTCCAGCTTGAGGGACAACCCTCTCATGGGAATCAAGTTGTCCTGGATCAGCGGGGATAACCTGCATTACTGTCTGTGTCTCAACAGCAACTATTCCTACAGGGATTCCTCCAAGCTTTGCCCTTCCTGTCACTACTGTTCTAGCCCAACCTTCCAGTGTCTCCACAAAGCTATCCCTGTCAAAAATACCTCCCTTCCAGTTCCCACTGCCATCTAAAGCACCACAAATAGCTGCACGAGGATCACATGAATTTTCTGGGAAGTAATCCACAGGTCTTTCAGGAGGATCTGAAGGACTCAAAATGGGAAGTGGACCACCTATATGAGGAGGAATGCAACTTAGCCAGTTCAAAATAGCTGACACCCCTTCAAGATCATCTGAGACGGTGAGATGGACAACCCCATTTGTTGCCATGATTTTAGGTCCACCAAGTTGCATGTGGGAGCTGTACACCTCACGACCAAGAAGTTTATTCAATGCAGAGAAACCAGTCAAAATAATGGGTTGATCAAGTCTCTGTATGCACCGCATGCCAAGACGAGCAAGATAAGCACCAATTCCCACAGTTCTACCAGTCACATATGTTAGGGTAAAGGTTTCCTTGTATGCTCTAGAGTATGCACCAGCAATGGCCCCACTACCAGTTAAGTTCTCAACCCCCAAACCATCTTCCTTCCCAACAATAGTATCTATAACCCACCTGCTCTCTCCACACTCCAGCTTTATCTCATGTGCAATGACAGATGATCCAATTCTAGCATAATCCTCAGGAGTTAAGTAAACATACTGAAAACCACGCTCAGGGCTGTATTCATCAGACCAACCAACTTTAAAGCAGGCTTTGACTTCCTCAGCTACCCCGATACGGGCACCAGAGTTAGCAGCCAAATAAATTAAGGGCAGTTTCTTAGTGCAGGCAAGATCAGTTACAGCAAGAAAGAATGCATCCTCTCTTGGGCCAAAAGAACCAGCTTTGAAGGTCACATCATTCGCAACTATCAAAATTGTTCTTCCAGAAGGGAACTCAGGAGTAGACATTTCCATGCACCAGGCTACCATGCCAACATCATTTAGTCCGGGCTGGCGCTCGACAGGAACAAGAGGAGTGCCCCAGTTACCTTTTTGGTCAGCAAATACAAGCTCCGTGACCTTAGGAAGAAGTTTATCTTTGGGTTTTTTAATACCTGGGAACTGAGATGTCCATGACTGTTGCAAGGCAGTCTCAAATGCCTACAAGTAGCATCATAGTCAGTAATATAGCTTTTATCTGCTATCGATTTTAGAGCATAAAAAAGGAAAAGAACAAGAAAGTAGCCAATATGGCAATATGCCCATAGCACTGTGCTTACCAATGGAAAGTCATAGCAATAAGTGGTATTGTTCTTCCTTGCCATTAGTCGTTTACGGTCAATAACACCCAAAGGCCGATAGTGAGCATTAAGTGGTACACCATGCAGAGGACCCCTTACAGAAAGCGAATGGTACACAACTCTGTGTTGGCTAGTATCTTCTAGTTCTCGGTATATCTGAAAGTACAATACAGCCATAATATTTTATTTTAGCTATATTCGTCGAAACTCCATTTTCATTTAGCTTAAGGTTTAGACGGGTTGTAGTTGGACAGTTAAATATAATTCTCAGACCGTACAGCTAACTTGCATTCTGCTAACCAATTTAGCGAAAAAGTGATGGATTTTTTTTTTTTTCTGAAACTACATAGCTCAATATATAACTAAATCAGTAAGAGTGCTACATAAAAAAATCAAAAGACAATGTAACACTTATGGTCTATGGTTCCTCTCAATTTAACCATTTTTGCTGGTCATTAGGATTTGTATAGTATGGCGTATAATGTCTTGGCAAACCAAAAAAGTTGCTGGTTGGAGAAAACTTTTCCATTTTTTTTCTTACTTCTATAGGAAAGCACTACAACTAGGTCCTGGTGGAGAATTTTTGAAGCACTACTATTTACCGGATAGATACTTACATGTACAGTGCATGTCTGGCCAGTCACATTTGTCACCACAACTCTCCAAGCACCATTTGCTTGTCCAGAAGATTCCATCCAGAGCTTCACTTCCCACTCACAAACACCTAACTTATGCATTCTTACACCAACAAATGCATGAATTTCCTGAGCCAGTTCTTCTAAGATTGACTCTACTGCAGCTTCTTCTTGTACAGCTTCTAGGTCAACTCTCCTGGTTAAATATCTCAAATGTAAGAAGATATATAAAATATTCACTGACCATACAGAATGTAGTGGAAAAAAAGAACAAGAAAAATAATAATATGGGCTTAATTACTTGGGATAAGGCACAAGGTCATTTATCTGTTGCTCTCGTAAGATACAAAGATACATATGTGCATGGTCAGATTTTAGAGTAGCATTGTGAACGTTAAGCTCCAACTCCTCCATTGCAGTCATTAAGGACCTCAAAATGCTCCTTGAAGTAGAAGATGTAGCCCATTGACTATGCATCATGTCAAAATCAAGTCCCCTATATGCTGTAAGCCCATCATCTGTCGTAGGCTGCCTGACTAGCGTTCTGAGAAACATCCTCTGAATTGGCAGTGGCTTGTCCACAACAGTGTATAAGTGCCATTGACGGTCACGAGATGGCATATACTGTATATTCTGGTAACCTTTAAGCTTATCCTGGATTAAGAGTTAATAAATATCAGATCAAAGGTGCATGGTAATATTTTTTTTCTTAGAAGGAAAACAATGGAGCATAAGTAAAAATAACAGACCAATTCAAGGTATATGGATAGAGGAGGTTCTAGATGACGCAAAAGAGGTTCTTCCTCGTAATAGAGCTTTTCAGTTGACCAATGAAATGAGTGCCTCATAGGTGTTCGCCCTTCATCTCTCTGTATGATACAGCTAATGACCCCAACACCTGCAGAATGTAGACTTGACCCCACCTCTTTATCTTTAAGTATTTTTGCTAACTTATTGATTCTCTCTTGAGCTTGATCCTCATCGCCACTGCAAAGAGTAAAAGTAGAATGCTGATTAAGAAAATCAGTGATTCTGTCCCTACATTCAGTTAGAAGCTTATTGTTTTGGCAAACATCTTTTATGGGAAAAAAAAAAAATAAAAGCAGACCAATTCAATGTAAGATTATCAATAGTTTGAATTTATATAAAACCAAAATCCATCCATCCTAGTAATATCAGATTTGAAATAAACATATATACACTTGCCTAAGGATTTTATTAAGTTGTATAATTTTATGTACTATAAATGACATTGAAAGCTCAACCCTTCACAAGAAAATTGTCAGTTCAGCAACAAATTTCAACCCAAGCAGAAGTTCAGAAGATGTATACCTATCCTGAAGTAAACTCATCTGATTGTTGATGCCCACCAGTGCAATATGCATCATATTACCAAAGGTAGTTGGTTCTACAGATCCTTTTAGAGTTACTCCATGAAGGCTATGAGTTGTTTCCCTCAATGCTGCATTAATAATTGCAGGCAAAAGTTGGAGAGATTTAATTATAACCATGGCTCCCCAATTCCTCTCACTATGTTTCTCAACTAATGGTTTATCAGACATTTGTTCATCAGACACATTCTTTTTCTCAATATGCTCTTCCAAGAACTCCCAGGAAGCAATAAGACCAGATCTATGCCACTGCATCCGGACACTTCCCTTTACAAGATAAGGCTGATGACAAATACAAACAGTTAAATGATGATGTGATAGTCCCAAAATAACATAAACTGAAGGTTGTGAGAGTTAAGCCCTAATACCTGGTATAGCCTCCGAACATAAGTCTCTACAACCCGCCTCTGAAGGGTGTGATCACTATGATCAAACAGACCTACAAGAGCATCTTCAACAGCTAAAGGAGCACCAACGAGATCCTCCATTCTTTCATTAATGGCACTTTTTCTCTTGGGAGTGTCCATAGTTTCACCATCCTCAGTAAACATTTCTAATTCAGAAAGGTTTCTAGCAATGGTGGAGCGAAGTTCACTTAATTTGGTTTGTTCCAGTAATTGACTTGCCTTCAATGCCAACTACACACACAAATTCGAAAATAAGCCTCTGAGGGAAACAATCAAATATCTCCTCCAAGGCAGAATTAAGTGAATTTTGGAAAGCCAAAATGATGAATATGAAGAACACAATATTAAAAACTTATTATTGTAAACTTATTACTTAGTAGATGCTCAGATGAGTAACTTAGTGCAATAGCAAACCTCAGAATAACTTGTATGGTTTAATGAAGAGAATCGGATTAGTTGATCTCTATAAGCAGCAGGGTTAGGATAAACGAGTTGTTCCAAGAGTCTGAGTATCAATTTATTTTTACTCTTGACACCCTGCAAGCCAAAAAACTTGTATTGCATGAGTATGGAATAATTTACAATAGCAAAAATATATAAAAATAAAAGGCCAGTGTTAAAAGTTTGATACCTGATGAGATAGCACAATGTCCACAACCTTTAAAAGATCTTTCTTATACTGAAGTCGAAGACGTTCAATCACATCAGCCTGCAATATGACATTGAAAGACTATTTTAAACATGCAAACAAACTAACAAACACTCGAAAGCTAGAAGACTGTAACTGGACTTAGAATTGAAAATATGATCTTCAAGATTTATGAATCTCAATTGATGTCTTGATACTTTAGAAAAGGGTAAATCAGATTGGTCTTGTCAATACAAACAATATGAGAAAGATATATATACACTGGTGTATTAACAATATGAAGAACATGTGTTCTTTTGCTACAAAAGTTACCTGGATGTTGTCACTGAATAACTCTTCAACAGATAGATACTCTTCAAAAAGGGACCGCACGATAACACGGGCATGGCTCTCTCTTCCACCATCATAAGACTTCACGAGACTCATCAATGGCTCAATAAGCCTTTCTAGGGATCCTCTTTCTTTTTCAGGACAAGAGGATAGATAGGACTGCAACCAAAGTGGGTGCCCAAGTGTTTACTTTCCAGTTGGACAAAAATAGACACAAAAAGTGGACTTCAAAATGAGGACTGTGGGAAAACGAAACTCACTTCTAGGACTCCTTTCAATAACTTGGCAGGAAAGTCAATATTCAGGGAGCTTGAAATTGCTTCAAACCCTTTACACTTTGACTCCAGCTGATACAACGGCAATAATAAAAAGTAAAATCAGATGAAAAGATACAATGTCTAAAGCCGCTACCAGAGCACCAAAGCAGAGATAAATCCAGAGGATATATATTTACCTCATTTTTAAGATTTTTGGGAAGCCTGGTTGCCAGAACAGACATGCATTCTTGCCATTGGAGGAAAGGCAGCTCAGGACTGTCAAGACAATTTAGCAGGCTTTGAACTACCTGTAACACAAGTAAAACCAACCGATATCATGAATCCAATTTCAAGAATATCTAAGAAAGTCTCAGACCGACTCAGACCGAGAATCTGAGCCTTTTCTATGTCTTTAGTGTGGAAAAAGAATGATCTCCAAGACAAGAATTTATCTCTTACTTGAATGTTTTAACTTTTTCATTGTTATTTTAAAAGACATTACTAAGACCTTTCAACCATTTTCAATCTTTGCTAATTTCTTTTAATATTTAATTTTTATTATGTCTAGTAAAAATTGTTGAAAGCAAATAAGTAGAGTTCCAAATCAAAATTCATTTTGTTCTCCAAACATTCTTTAAAGTTTACAAATTATCTCTACATATAAGTTAAATGTATTATAGATATTATAGCATATCAATTATTGAGATATAAATTTTCATTTTGAATTCTATAGTTTCATGTAATATTCAAAATAATACATAACACTTGCAGAAACGTGAAAGAGTTAAACGTTAAAACTATACACCCATTGTTTCAGAGCTACTTAATTAAGGGCAATTATTAAGTTTACAAAGGCAAAAAGTGCTGAAGAAGAGATTCACTGATTCCTAGTGCAATTTAATCCCTAAGATGAGATTACTCTGGGTTAAGAAATACTTACTTCATCAATATTATGCTCATAACCAGCAAGAATCATGCGGGCTGCATTTAAACTTGCAGCACATCTCTGATGAACTTTACCAGCTATTGCAGTGGGAGGCCCCAGTAAAGGAAAGCTCCCATGGAATGGTTCAGCTTTCCTAACAGCAGAAGGATCATCCAAATCAAGCCTAGCAATAAGCTCGCCAGCCTGCAAGATCAATGATTTCCTAAGTTTCAAAAAAATATAACCTTTATATTTCTCATATAGAACATTATTTACCTGCATTGCTTGACCTTCAGACATTTTGATTTTAATAATTCCTGAAGCAGGTGAAAGAAGAGGCATACACATTTTCATAACTTCAACCTCTGCATATGGTGTGTCAGCATCTATATGACTACCATCAGAAACCAAAAATCTCAGCAGTTTGCATGGTGTTTCAGCCACTAATTTTGACGGGTCATGTTCATTCTGCATAAAGAAAATGAACATAAATAACATCCCTTAATTTTGTGGGTGAAAGGAAAAGGGAGTTTTTCCTTTGAGTTGGAGGGAGGGAGATATAGCATATGAAAGAGAGGAATAAGTGGCACCTGTAGCAGGCAAGTCCTTCCATCAATTAGAAGGCGAGTACCGGCAGCTTCTTCCTCTGCATAAATGACATGACTGTTTCCATCCAACTGTAATAAATTGAAACTAAGCATTATGAAATACCAGAAAAGAAGAGAGAAAAACTGTTGTAATCACAAGGCCAGCTACACAAGGTTTTAACAAATAAAAGAGAAATAAACAACATGGTCAAAAGTAAAACATGAAAAACAATAATTCTGAATATTTAAAGGAGAAATGCTTGCCTGCATCAATAAACCACCATCTCTTAATGTATGTATCTCTGCCTCAATCTCTGAGTCATTCATTCTCAACCTATAACTTCCTGGTCCCCCCCTAGCCTTGTCAATCTGTGAATTTTTTTTTCAAAATGTTAATTATGCAGAATTAGTCAACATGATAGCCAAAATCTCCAGAAATTCTTGATAATTAGAAAAGAAACCCTTAAAATGGTGGTAAAGTGACATTATCAAAAACTCATACCGTGTATTTGCTTCCTTCAATGTTCAAGGACACTTGAGAATGCACAAGTGATATGTGCTGCAATCAAGATCAACAGACATCAGTATCTTAATAAAGACCCACATAACAAAAGCAACTCAGGCTTAACAGTGTACCTTGGGAGGGATTTGACCCTTTTCTAGATAACCAACATAATCTGAAACCATAGCTGCACTGCTGGCTGATGCTTTCTGAGATAAATAAGGAGTGTAAAACATGTATTCTATTATCAGCAAAATGAATTCTAATATATAAGCACTTACGTAGAGAGCTCCTCCAACAACTGAGAGATACCAAGGAGGCCTTTCAGCTCTAACTCGCATAGCAATTCTACTGTCCAACCAACCAGTGTGGATTTTATTTTCTCTGTAATCTGAAGCCTGTAGAGCATTTTAGAAGATATTAGTTGGTATTCCCAAAGTCATGAATTTCTATAAAGAAAAAAAGAAGATGATTTGTGTGATAAACCTACATGCAAAAGGTCAATTGTGTAATCAACATTTGTACGAATTTCTCCACGGATTTGAATTTCTTTCAACCCAAGAACCATATTTGCTATAGCCAAAGCTCTGGATTCCCCAAAAGCAAAGACATGTCCTGAGGTAAGATTTGACTCTTATCAGAACTAATGATTTTGGTAACAAATAATTTATATGCATAGAGGATGTCTTGTGTAAAAACATACATAGAAAAAAGAAATTTATTAGTGTAATCCTTACCAAATTGAGAATCTGAAAATTCATGAATGCCTCCTCCTGACTGCAAATTATTATTGCAATCATTATCTTTATAAGTTTAAGGCTCTATCAACCAATAATTTTGCCAAAAAATAAAGGTTTACCTTAACAGAGAAGTAAGCCCACACATTTGGCTTGCTTTTAAAACTCAACTCCTGTACAAAGTCATCAAACTCAATACAAGCTTAAGAAAAGGAAAAGAAAAGAAAAGTGAAAGAAAGAAATGAGATATTTGAAGTACAAATTTTGTGAACCTAGTAAGTCTAACCTGTACTTTTCCACTGGTAGGTTTAAAACCATCATCTGGATCCTCACTTGTCACGCGCACAGCTACACAGTGACCTTTCGGCCTTGTTGACTCTGCCTTGTCAAAATCGAAACTCATGGCAACAACAGATGTTTTCCTCCATGAATCATAACCTCCACCATGTTTCATTCCATAGAATCGCCGTATTTCTAATCAAATCAAGCACACAAACACAGACATCATTTACATGAATTAGATGATAAAAGTAAAAAATGTTTCGAAGAAATAATGGATGTTGACATCATACCAGGAATTTGCCAGAGAGGGATACCCATCCCGACTGCAACTTGGGCAGCTGGCAGATTTACTTCAGCAATCCACTCTGTGACAGGATGCTCCACCTGTTGGAATTAATTTTTAAATATTAACAATACAAAGAATATGAAAAGGAAAAATCGGATAGCCAAGTAAAATCACAAGATTCCTCACTCCTCCTAGTAGTTTCACACCAAAACAAGGTGAGAAACCACCAACCATGTCATAGAAATGTTATATCTCCAGACACTTTGTGGTAGTAAAGCTTAATGCTTTTCCAAATGGTCCGATCAGACACATACTGTTTCTCAACTACCAGCTAGCTTTTTCATTTTACATCCATTTCAAATGCAGATACAATTAATATATTGCACAACTCCACTAAATGGATAAAACAAATTGAAAAGGAAAGCACAAATATGATTGCATGAATGTAGCTTAATCCATATGACATGTTCCGGAACTGAGGATAGAATCATTATATCATACCTGTAACCGAGGGTTGAGCTCTAGAAAATAGTACTCGCCAGTGTCCATACCATACAGATATTCAACAGTAGCTGCCCCAACATAATTAACACATTTAGCTAACCTTCTAGCTGCTTGCTCCAGCTTTTTGACTGTCTCCAATGGAGCCACAGTGATTGGACCCTCCTCAATAATCTATTTTAGATAAAGGACCATGATGTCAGATCATGCAGGGAAACTTTCCTCAAATAAGATGCAACAGATGCATAAACCTTTTTTGGCTGCAGGCCCATTTGTTCCAGAAAACTAACATTCAAATATAGCCTCTAAGAAACAAAATTACCTTCTGGTGCCGCCTCTGAACACTACAGTCACGGCTATGCAAAGCTGCAACATTCCCATACTGATCACAGAGTAACTGGACCTCTAAATGCCGGCTCTAATTAGAGAAAGAATATATACCAAATGGAATGTCAGAAAAAGATCTATACTCCTGCCACTTCACTGAAATCAACTGTAGCAGATAATCTCACCTGTGAAGCAACTTTCATTATAAATATAGGTGAACCTGGAACTTCACCTTGCACTTGTTTGAATAGTGCCCTAACTTCATCATCATTATGAACCTAGAAAGTCAAAGCAATTCAAACAAGATGAGAAGTATTTAAATCTTCTACAAAATATGCACAGTAACTTTAAAGGGGGCTTAGCTTAAAGCATTGAATAATTAAAATTTGCTATGGACAGAAAATCAAAACATTCTCATGAATGAAGCAAACCTTTCTTATGCCTTTACCACCGCCACCCCAAGATGCCTTGATCATTGCAGGATAACCAACAACTTGACAACTTGCAATTGCTTCCTCTGTTGTATAAACACATGCTTTGCTATATATTTCATCTGGAATAGAAACTAGGCAACTTTCTGCAGGAATTTTCACCTGGAAAACAGAAAGGTAGCATTGTGCGTGAGAAACTGCTATGGAAAATGGCAATTTTTAACAATCAAAAGAAAGATAATTACATGAGAACCACTCCATGAAAGGGTTGGCACATCTGCTGCTTGAGCAATCAATGATGAACCAATCTTATCTCCCAATGCTGCCATAGAGACCGAAGGCGGCCCAAGAAAAATGATTCCCTTTGCATTCAGTGCATTGGGCAGCTCAGGGTTTTCTGATGCATGACCCCAGCCGGGCCAAACCGCATCAACATGTGTTATCTCTGCCATCTGAGTAACCATATAATATAATTTTTCAAAAAAATATAGAATTGCGGCACATTCTGTATAATTAACCATAACTATGTGGGAAGTTAGCTCCAATGAGCCATAAGTAGCAAGAATACGAACACAATCTCATTCTACTTATCAATTTTCTTTCCATGTCCTAGGACTCTACAGTAATGCTGTGATGTACAACTTCTAGACTACTTGACACGGAAACTTCTTTTATTTAGCTATTAGCCTCTGTGAACTCTTATGTTTCAAAATCATATGGGGTAAAATTAATTATTTACAGCTAGAATATACTAAGAGTAGTGAAATTCCTTTGTACTTAAAAGAAAAGCTTCTTGAAAGGGCAATTCATCAGCAAAATAACAGCGTCAAAGCAAGTAAACGGAGTTTACTATCACACCTCTACAATAAGCTGCACATTGGCATAGTTATTATTATTTGTCCCACCAGGAACTTCCACAAACTGATCAGCAATTCTAATATGCTCTGCATTGATTCTCATGTCCTCAGGAGTGGCCATGGCCACCAACAAGATTGCCTTTTCTGTGCCAAACGTCTCATAAGCCCATGTCCTAATACTACGTATAAATTTAACAGCAGCCATTCCATTGTTTGCAATTAAAATACTATGGATCGGCTTCTTCCCTCCAAGTGAAAAACAGAATTCATCTACTTCAGATATTGTAGCAGGGCTCCTGATCGGCAATACCCCATTTATGTATCCATTGTTTCCACGCCCAACACCAGCCATAGCTGACCTTCTTTGGGCCTCTGACATGCTGCATATCCATACGTCAAATGACCAACAAGGATAAGCATTCAAATATCAATCAATAATAAAATCAAGTTGTACTCAGTTTGTTTTTAACAGATTCAACTGGACAATCTCTGAACGGTAGCAGTCTAATTCTGAACTGAGACTTTAAAAATTGATGCGTTTTCTTAAACATGTAAATGGCTGAATAGCCTAATCAACAACACCCTCGAACTGAACCCCAACCAACAAGAAATCTAATAGGATTAGCAACACAAATGCACCGTGTTTGTACTAAAGCTCTGGTTGGTGCACATAACAGAATTTGATGTGATTAATACTTTAAAATTTTTCCTTACACTCGTAGCTTATTTTAGTGAACATGGCATCAAACGAATCAGACTTAGTACTAAAAATACTAGTTTATTCATTGGTGATTCAATTCCAGTTCCAGTAACCAAACATGGCATAGGAGTAAAGTTTCCCAGATGCAGGATCACTTAAACATTTAATTTCAACAGAAGCACAACTTTAGAAAGCAAAAAGTACTAACAAAAAAACCCTCCAAAAGTTCAAAATTATTGTTTTCAAATCCATACCAAACTGAAACCTCAATCAACAAATTACACACCCACCCTCCAAAAAAAAAAACGAAAAAGAACTTTTCAAACTTCATAAATCAACAAAACCAACCCAAAATAAAACACAATTCCCAACTAGAATTTCACCTCATGGCTTCACAAAAAAAAAAAAGAAAGAAAACCAATACCCAATTCAACAAACAACCCAAAAAAAAATGACATACCTGTCAAAAAGAACTTGAATCCAGGAAGGTTGAGATCAAAACAAAGTCTTTCAATTTGTTATATTGGTATGAAGCATACTTCAAATTTTCTTTGGTGAACGAAAACAGAAGAGAGAGAGAAAGGAAGAGATAAAGCGGATCAAAAAAGCAAAGCCGAAACGAAATGTTGAATGTGTGTTGAATTTGCAACATGCAAAGCAATGTTATGAAATCCTTAATATTAGCAGTTAAGCCTTAGCAGGGAGTTAGGTTTGGGGTAGCGGAAGGAAGGTGGCTCGTTTTCAAGTGGCTTTAACGGCCTTTTTAATGACAATCTGCACGTGGTACCTGCCCCTCCCTCAAACTCCTCCCTTTGTTCTTACCCCTCTTTTTTTGTTTTTTTTTCTTTCTCATTTGTTCGTCCTAGATAGACTGTAGTAGCTCCCAGCTACCACGTTCTCTTCACCTTTCCACAACACTTCTTTGGGTTTTGGAATTATTACTTTTTTTTTTTTTTCTAACCAATTAGTCCTTCTTTATTGTAAGAAGAAAAAATTTAAAGGATATAAAAAACTCTCTTTAAATTTTTATTTTTTATTATATTAATTTTTTTAATGTATATTTATATTTAATTAAATTTGTATTTGAATCAAATAAGATAAAATTTTACGTGATATAAATAAAATAAATAAAAATTTATCACATGACATAATTAATATATATAAAAAATAAATAAAATAAAATTTTTTTCTTTATTTTCTTTTTATATATCTTTATGATTTCTTTAAAAGTTTAATTAATTGTAATTCAATGATTAATTAATTTAACTTTATCATGTAATTAAATTTTATTTAATTAAGAATTTAATTGAATCAAAATTAAAAATTAAAAATTTAATTAATTATAATAAAATATTAAAAATATAAATAATTTTTTAATTATAATTCAAAAAAACAAAATTGGCCTTTTAACTAAAAATGTAGATCGCTTTACCTATTTTTTCATCATAAATAGATTGGAGGTGGCGTGCCTTTGACTGTGCGTTGGGAATCAGGTAGTGTTGTCGACCAACCCTTCTTTGTACTTGTTTTAATTAGATTAGAATATTAGACGAGCTCACATTTATCCATTTATGTAGAGCATATATGCAATAATCAAACTATTCCACTTTTACCATGAAAATAAGCAGAAAAACCAGGGAAGACTGCTTTTTGACCTGAATCAATCCCAGATCTTAGAAATTACTCAATGTGCAAGTTTTTTTTTTTTTTTTTTTGTCTCTATTTTGAAGGTGTCGTGAAATGCTTCTTCTTTTCCATTTATTTCATTAATTAAATGTGGTGATAAGATGCTGTATAGTTGGAGTAGTATTTGATTTAAAAAAAACAAAGTCAAGAGGTATTAATTTTGCACGGAGTTTATCGTTGGTCGTTAGGTCCATCCATGCGCTACTTGTTTCCCCTCACATTTTCATTTTCTCATTCTTTGCGGGTTGTTAACTTAGTATTAAATCATGTAACATTCACATATATTTTGTTGATAAAATATTAAAATTTTTAATTTTAGTGATTAAATTTAATTTTTAATAATTTTAAATATAAAAAACTTAATATTAAAAGAATACTATAATATTAGCCAACATCATTATTACCATATAACTATCATTTTTTATACAATTGAAATTATAATTGAGAGATATAAAAAAATTGTAATTGTTAAATTTTAAATTTATTGAATAATAATTTTTAAAAATAATTATATAAATTAATTGAATAAAATTTTGAATTCACGTGTTAAAATTAAAGAAAGAAATTGCTAAAAAATTTAGTTTTAGGAATGATTGAAGATGACCTTGCTATTCTTGGCGTAAATAGGATGGTCAATTGATATAAAGATCCTTTAAAAAAAAAAAAAATGGATTCATTTACTTAAAGACAAAGATATTGAAATATAATGTCATGAATTTCATAATAGATTTCTGTAGGAACCCTTTCTAAACAATAACATTCTTCTCTCCAAACTGCTGCTAGCTTTACAAGCTTATGAGCCACCCCATTCGCTTCATGATACGTGTAGGACACCATCCATTCTGCAACGTTGGACAATTCCATTCTAGTTTCCTCCAAGAGGTTCCTAATTCTTAAGAGATCCATTACCTTGTTTAAATTAATCTGTGAGGTTACCCCCAGCGCATCTCCCTTCAGTATCACTCTCTGCATGCCCATGTTCCTCTCAAATTTTGTAGCTCTTGCAAGTTTCATTCCTTTAATAATGTCTGGGTCCCTTATGCCATTAACGGTTAGGCAGAATACTCCTTGTACTTCTCCTAAATGGTTTCTAGCAATGCCACCAATGCCAGCCCTGTCCTTTTTCTTTTCCAGTGCCCTATCAAAATTGATTTTTATCCATCCCTTAGCTAATGCTTGTTATTTTCTTGGAGTACACTTTTAATGTGTCTTCTTTTGCTCACGTATCTTATGGTAGTCTTCCAGATACTGTTGCACAAATTTGATCATAGCAGACGCAAATTTTGTCTCATTGCTTTTAACTTCTGTGTTCCTAGTTTCCCATATCGCCCAACATATCGTTGCAAACCTGTCAAAACCCACTTTCTCTAATCTTTCAACCATATATGACAACCACTGTTTAATTCTTTGTATTTGATCGTTCTGCCAATCTTCATCCGGATAGACCAATGTCCATACCTCTTTTGGTTTTACACTGTCTCTAATCGCATGCATTACAGTTTTGTCTTCTTCGTTTCATCTTGGGCATCTCGCATGATCCATTTTTGCCTTTCTTTGTAACTGCCCAAACACCAAAAGTATTTCATGCCACATCCTCCAAATAAATGTTCTGATCTTAACTGGTTTAGATGAATACCATATGCTCTTCCAGGTGGTCCTCTTTCCATTAGTGTCTATTCCTCTAATGCATGCTTGCTTGTAGTTCATATAATGATCATTTGATACCAACAAATGGTATCCACTTCGCACCGTATACAACCCATCCTTTGTGTAGTGGTATACTTGCACGTCTACTTGGCCATTCAAACCTATAGGAATTGCTTTGATTTCTCTGGCAGTTTCCTCATGAAACAAGGTCTCTAATTTGGCAACATCCTACCCTACCCCATTTTCTTGGAAGAGGTCATTAACCATATCATCCCCTAGCATATAATTTGTTTGAGGGCTTGGAATGAAATGTTTTTCTTTTGGTATCTATTTATCATGCCAAACTCTGATTTTCTCTTCATTTCCCACCCGCAACTGCAATCCAAGTTTTAAGACTTCTTTCCCCATCCATATGCTACGCCATATGTATGATGGCGCTCTTCCTAACTCTACCTCCTAAAAGTTGATGTTGGGGAAATACCTTACCTTTAGAACCCTGTGAACAAACGAAGAAGAGTTATGCATCAATCGCCACCCCTGTTTCGTAATGAGGGCCTTATTAAACAATTCCATATCTCTGAAGTCCATACCTCTCTTTTCCTTCCTCATACATGTTTTCCATCATTTTAACAAGTGAATCCCTCTTTTTTCAATCGAGCGCCACAACCAATATCGACTTATGGTCTTGTTGAGTTGTTGGCACAATCCCTTTGCGAACATGAAGTATGACATGGTATATAAGGGCATCGACTGTAATACCGCCTGGATAAACACTTCTTTCCCACCAAGCGATAACCATTTGTGACGTCATTTTTTTATTCCTCTGTCCATCTTCTCTAGGATCTCTTTGAAGGCCTTTTTTTACCCCTCTCAATGAACATTGGCAGCCCCAAATATTTCTCTGGATTGGATATGGTTTGCACTCCGAATATGTTCTTCATCATTTCAACTATATCATTGCTTGTGTTTGTGCCGAAAAATATCCCTGACTTATCATAGTTAATCTGCTGCCCTGAACCTTTTTCATATACCTTTAGCAAGTCCCTCACTAAGTAGCATTCGGTTTGTTTTGCCTTGAAAAGAGCAAACTGTCATCTGCAAAGAAAAGGTGGGTAATTTTTAGGCCGCAGGTGCATTACAAGAAAACTACTCAATATTAATGCTCAAAAAACCATTAGTAAAACTTAAAAATTCGTCAGTATAATACAATAAATCATATACTGACGGTCAAAATATCTATTCTCACAAATTTATAACCACCAATATATCCATTGTTGATATAAACCTATAACGATGGTTTTTAAGTTATCGGAATATGCAATAGAGATATACTGATGGTTTTATTTTGTCATTATATGTATAGCTGTTGATATAGCAATAATTGTGCATTTCACATTATACCTTTTACCAATGGTTATTTTCATCAATATAGATTCATATGTTTTAATATTTTTAACTTATACTGACGATGTCTCCGTCAGTATATCTTTTACCAATGGTCAATGCTTGTCAATATAGCTTTATGTGTTTTAACTTTTACCAATGGTCCATGATGACTGTGAGTATAGCATGAAATATTTTAATAGTAAAATATGTTAGTATAAATTTTAAGACGTTAGTAAAAACTTTTTTTTCTTGAATTATATTTTAATTATTAATATTAATTTTATTTATAATCATAATATGATATGATTTCATATAAAGTAAAAATACATAAAAAAATAAAAATATTTAATAACATTTGAAATAAAATAACAACCAAATTGTTTTATAATCCACCAATTTAAAATAAGTCAAAAACTAATGTCATTGTACCAAATCCAAAAAAAAAAAAAAAGAATATTAATATCTATGAATGGTATAGCCCTGGTTGATAATGTATCTAGTGAGCGATTCAACCTTACAAATTTTCAAGCTCCCATGGTAGAATCATATGGACTTACAGTCCTCCCATTTAGTGCATTTAAGCCAAAAATGACCATAGCCCTGTGTCGGAAATAAAATGCATTGAATCCAGATAAAAGGAAACTTCATCTAGTTGTTTAAATGTTAGGAAATAGACAAATTACAATGTTCATGAAGATGGTAATAAAGTTTACTTACCCAAAAAAAAATATTGAGTTCATCCTATCTAGACATGGGTAAGCAACCTTTGAAGAAACCAAAAATCTCTGCCATCCTTTACAAATTTTGACCAAATAGAAAAAATTTTGTCAACCAATTACAAGAAAACATTAAAATGAAGATGCATTACCAAAACTACCAAGGAAATGGAGATTATGTTTTGTTTGAAGTGAACCCCAAACATTCAATCGTCCTAAGCTATTACTTCTTCACAAAACATTCAATCATCAAAGCCAGTGCTAGTAGAAGGACAAAAAAATAGGTATGCTCGATGACACAAAATTGAAATGCAAAAAATGAAAAATGCCTCTAAGAAATTACGAGAGTCTTGATGCTTCAATTTTGATTTAACTCTAAAACAAAATGGGTGTCGATGGGTTTAAGTTTGTAGAGGAGAGAAATGGTGAAAGATGAAGAGAGTTGGTAGGAAATGGAGATTAGGCTATAGGTACCGACGGATAGAGAGAGTT